CAGGGCCTTCAGCTCATCATTAATTTGTATTTAGTGTAGTCTGTCTCGTAATTTCGGCAGAAAAACATGTTGATCGTTGAGTAAATATTTTGTGTAATCGAAGACAAAGAAATGATGACCAAACAATGTGACTGAAAGATTAAATATTTCATCAAGCTGTACAAAAAATGATAGACTATTCTGGAGGGTTCCCAGCCTTCTTATGGTCAAACAATTAGCAGTCAGAATTTTTCAATTGTAGTTTTTAACTTTTCCGCCCGTTTATTTCGTAACATTTCGGATTGAAATGTATGTAATAACTGTTCCAGGCCTGAGGAAGGCGACAATAAATTGCCGAAAGCTTGGTAGCTGAAAAAGTGTTGCTTTTTAATCACCACTGCCCAGACCGAATTCCCAAGAAAATCAACGATCTTGCAATTATTTGATATCTGTTAAGAAAGGGGAACTGGTTAATTTTTCTGTCAATAGTATTGTGTTCTTGTTAGAGACTAGCATTAATTCTCGATGGGTAGTTTTAGACATATAGAAACTTGCTCTGTATAAAAAACGGGAAATAATTAAATGAGTGGAAACATGAATTGTGCTAAAACTTTTTTGAACAACATTTTTTTATTTTTGAGTACTGAGTTTTCTTAGCCTAACATTTCAAAAGCTCAACAAAACAACTCAAAAATGATCTGTATTCTCTAAACATCTACATTTTATTATTGAGTGGCCTGTAAGTGGATATGCAATTAATACGTTGCTGTCTCTTTCTTCTACAAAATTCTCCTCTTTAACTTTGACCTTCAAGGTATTCGTTCTGAACTCAAACAGCACCTCTTGCCCTTGTACCCGCTTGCTAAATCGTGATATTATTCAGCATCTCAAATGCAAAATACGCAAGTTTCTAAACAGCAACACAACCTCAAGTAATGCCTACGCTACATAGACAAAGCAGCAAGCACCTATCGTAAACCGCAAAAACATTAAAACAAAGCACTTAATTCCGCCTTAGGTTTATGTGTAATTATAATACGGAAACCGAATTTAAATTGTTCTAATCGTGCCCGTCAAGTTTTAGTTTTGGGCAAACTAGAAAACTTTCCGTTAGTTTCGGCCTTCTCCAGGGGTTTTGTACCATTCCGGATTTGGCGGCATTATAGTGACGAAGGGTAATAGCCTGCTTTTTCGACGTACATTTCCAAGGGGACAAGCATTCTTGGAAGTTTAACGGTGCCTTGAATTCTCTACAGCACTACGTCAAATTAGTCTCAGTTGTATAGTGCGTCCAGAAAATAGCTCCTTACAGTCCTGGCCGGAAGTCTAATGAAAAGACACTGAATGTTTTAATTAGAAACCCCGTCCGAAATGGAGAAACCTCAGATACAAAGCCGGAATTCTTCCTAAAATAAATTAACCCGGCCTAGCCGTCTTTAGTCCTACCGATAGCGCAGTAAATCTCGGTTTTGTCTTCACATATTACATGCCGCAAGATCTCTGGGGTGAATCTGCTCTAATATAACTAATTCCCGGATTTTGCAAACTTTAGGGGAGGACTTCCCGGCTAATTCCTGCGGGATTATATCGGGTTTTTATAGTCGGCCTGGATGGCAAGAAAACTGCGGCGAGTGCACTTGACTTATTTGCATAAGTGAATGGAGCTATATTAACATGGTTGAACTCAATCTGATAATCGTAGTCGTAATATTGAAAACTTGCTATTCCAACCGTGATTCACAACATTTCTAGAATTTATAAAAACTGATGATCTTTAATATACGAAATCATATTTAGTCCCAATAAATGTTCACATCTTTAGCCACATTGACTGTGCTTTTAAGCTGACTTGCCTATTCTACCTTAGTTATTTAATTTTAATAATAAATCACCCTGAATGAATGGGAAAAGTGTCAAAGACTTTATCATTCACCCTTACGAAAAATATTGAAGTTTTACTGACCAATCCAGCTTCTCAGGTTCATCTTCTGCTTTCATCGGATTCTCTTCAGGGAACTTTAAGAAAAGTGTTTATATTAGCCAGATAGCTTTATTAATGATAAATTAAATAAATAATGCACAAATCTGCTTGATAGTTTAAAACATTCAGTAGTTTCCCAAATGTCTTAAAATTGGAAAAATGTTATCGATAACTTATATTATTTTTCATTTATCAATTTTTCACGGTCTTTGAACTTGAATGTCACAACCACTCAGTTCTGGCTGATCCAAACCGTCTCTCTTGATCGTCTGGCTAAAGAACTATCGACTTAACAGTTAGAATTATACTAGAGAACATTTTAGGGCATTGAGAAAGTTTTCCAGTTTCCACCTGCCCTATTTTCAAAGTGGCAGCACGATCAAAAAGATATTAAATTATCTATCGGCAGTTCAGAGTTCAGACCCGAATTCGAAAGAACGCCAAGTTTGAATCTATTACTTTTACTGCTCACATTTTCCTTTGCATCTATTTTTTTTGGTTATCGATCGAACCGCATCCAGCTAAGTTTTACTTGGGGCCAAATATCGCACATCTTTAGGGAGGGGGAAAAAGTTGTTGAAATGAACGGTACTAGACTCTAGACTGTTTATATTCTGCTGCAACTATTAAGACAGAGTCAGTAGATTCAATCGTGCCTTGGTGTGCAAAGGAGAAAAAAAATTAAAACGTGAATTTTGTTTGCTATTTTTTTAAATCTCGTGAAGATTCAGGGCTGAATATTAGTGCAAAAAGCATGACTCTAATTTGAAAGCAAAAAGTCGAATATTCGCCTCTTAGCAAGTGCAACAAAGTTACGGCTCCAAACGATTCCAAGATGATTTCGTACTGATTCAGCGTAAAATCTCGGTTAAAACTTTATCCCACTATTAAATTTGATCAAATTCGAGGGAAGATAAACGATTTCAACTAGAACAAGGCAAATGTCTTTAACAGATGGCGTTTATTTCCATCGGTCGCCCGCCTAAGCTCGCAAAGGACTTGATCATGCCGCTTTCACCTAATCCCTGGATTTATTTCTTCAGGTTTTCTGGATCGTATATCTTGTCCAGAGGGGACTGTGGTATGGCGGCATACTAATGCTAACCCTACAGATTTTCCCGATAAATAATTAGCATTACCAATGGTCCCTATTTATCTAGGTCGTAACGCTAATGCCGGGGAAAATGCTTTAATGCATATTTGCGAGATTAAGTTTAACTATTTTCGTGTAGCTATTAAACGTATCTACATGTATCAACCAGGCAATTTTTAGTTTGAAGTTGCAAGAACACATTGTTCGCTTCTTTCGGAAGTTTATTGCTCAGATGGATTGATGGCTTATAAATTTACCGCCGATTAAAGAAAGCTCCTAATATTTAATTAAATGTAAAAACTCACATTTCTGTAAAAAATCGCGTTGCTTACAACCATCAAATATTTGAATATCCAAAAAGCCCCATTTTCCTTTGTGGATATGTGCCATGCAATTATTTAAATTTAGCTCAGTCGTGGTTTGTTTGCTTATGCATTCGCAACAATATTTATTAACTTTGCGTTTTAAAATAAACAATATTTCATCCATTTGTCTTTGAATAATAAATAAAATATCACCTGTAATTAAATGGGCAATATTTAGTTGATCTGAAAGCACACAGTGACACTTTTTCATCAAAATATATTTTATAGTGTTGAAGATTTTATTCAAAAAAGTCGCTTTTGATTCGAAATCGGGCTTCGATGTCAATGTTTCTTAAAAACTTACTCAGTATCGTTTCTAATTTTAGAAGGATTTTTTACATCACCTTGCTCTATTGTGCTTTTGCCTCTCTTCTGTGTCTTAAAGACTTAGAAGTTATAAAGTAGAACCTTAAGAAATGTTTCACAAAGACCAATAGCTGATGACCGATCTATTTGGGTCACGTTTATTGCCTGGAACCAAGTTTAAGTTTAATTAAAAAGACTTACAAGTCTGCGTATTTATAAATCGCAGAACGCCTGCGAAGAACTATTTGAGCTGGTTCATAGCGTTAAATCAGTTTATCGCGGACATTTTTTTCCGATAGCAAATTGTGCTAATAAACCATGGAAGCATAAATGAAAGCTTTATTTGTATCCTGATGCCCCAGTGAACCTTCATAAGATGGCTAATTAAATTAGGCGAATGATGTCATTATAGGCGAAAATATAAGACTTTACTTTACTTTAACTCGCAACTATAAACATGTCCGCTAGATAACCTGTTTCCTCGAGAAAACAATAAAAATTTAATTAAAATTCCTCCTTTTCGTTCCATAAAGAAAAGAGTCTTAAGTATTTCAATTTACCTTACTAGCTAAGAGAAGCTGCCGTAAATTTCACCGCGTAGGAGCCGTTATTTTTTGGTTTGCATATTTCGCTCGTGAAATAAGGAATATTTTGTTTGCAATGCAATAGCTTGTCAGGATAATGTCGGGTTTATCTTAGGCAAATCTCCGAGATGCTTTCAACTATGTGTTTTAATTACAGTTATCCGATTTGCAACATAACGTAAATCTTATTTAAATTCCATGCAGACTTTGGGAGCAAAATCTTCAGTTTGCAGAAATAATACAAAAAACGTACAGTAGACCGTTAACTACCATTCTGTATATCTAAAGCTTTGCTGTTTTACACTTCGGGACCGAATTGAAAATGTGGCACTAGTCTGGACATTCGAACAAAATTTGAAAGATAATTTACTTGAAAATTTGTTTGAATTTGAATCCATGTTAGTGATGACTAATGGGCAATTTTGCCCAACTCAAATACTCGACATCAGAATGCTGAATTCGGCAAATATAAGAAGCGATCATAACATTTTACTCGGAAGAATTAAATTGAGAATACGAATACTAAAACAACCAAGACCGGTGATATCAACACAGAAACTCAATATTGAGCTGCTATGGGACCTTGCGATAAAGTACCTATACAAAGATAGATTACAACAAAAAATCGAATTTAAATACTTACGACATCAATCTAGCTTGGGAAATAATCAAGAATAATATCAATAATTCAGCAAGGGAGGCACTTGGAGAACGAACCTAAAAGTGAACCAAGGAATCAACCACAAGACACCATGGTTCCGCCCAGAAGTCAAGGATCAGTCCAAAGAAAAAAGAAAAGCTTACCTAAAATAATGTAGTATGCGAACGCCAGAATCATATAATGAAAATAAGCAAGTTAGGAACAAAACTAAAGAATTAATGAGAAAAATATTAATCAAAAACGATCACTCGGAAATGTTCTCCAATCGCCTGGAAGGTGATTTCTACGGGCTTCAAAAGCAGATATGGCGATTCATAAGATTGCACAGAAAGTAGGTCAATGAACTGATAGAACCAACCCACATAAAAAAGGAAGATCGGATCAGATATTTAAACGATCTGTATAAAACAGCAAACACCGCAGACGAGCCTACTACACCAGAACCTATTAACGACGAAGCCACGATCAATTCATTCGACGTATAAAACGCAATACAGAAAATAAGAGATAGAAACAGCACCGGGCAAGGCGGTATACAAAATGAATTGCTCAAATACGGTGGACAAAAAGTAACAGAAGAATTAACAACTTTAATACCGAAAATTATATACCAACACAAAATCTCAGATGAATGGCGAACCAGCACTACTGTGCTTCCCGTTCAAGAAAGGAGACAAGAAAACATCATCAAATTATAGAGGACTAAACGTTTTAAGCACTGCTCTAAAACTAACAATAAAGTAATTACGAACAAAATCAACAATCTTACATCATTGGCGGACGAACAACAGGTAGTCAGATCGGGAAGCTTGCACACACGCCGTGTTCGTATTAAGACAAATAGCCGATAAGTCGATTGAATACAACAAGCCAGCGTTCATATGTTTTGTTGATCTAACTAGAGCATTTGACCGTGTCCATCTGAAAGACGTCCTGCATCTCCTTTACAACGATCTCACTAAAACCATGGAGAACATATGAAGAGCTTATTTTCAAAACGCAATTACTAAAAGTTAATTTGATTTGCAGAATTAAGCTTTTACTAAATCTAGCAAAAAAAATGGAAATATAAATTAATTTTTGGTGCCAACAGGAACTTTGGTAACGTGGCTATAAAATCCAATTAAAAATTTGCTAAAAAAATTGGATTATGGTTAGAAAGAAAAAACTTTTCTACATCTGCCTTCATAAAACTAGTAAATTGTTTTGCTCTTAGTTTGTGAATGAGTATATACGATTGGTTTGTTTTCTCCCTTGTACCTTCGTAGCTTATTTTTGACTCTTAAACATAAACTGTACACATCCGTGGCAGGAGTACCGAATCCAATATTAGATTCAGAGCAAAATATTTTATAAAAGTAACCATAGTTTACTTTCATATCACTATTTCTATCATTGTATATTTTACATAATTTTGCAACACTCAGTTCAGGGGTAGATACAAACGCTTGGACTCTTGCCTATTACAATGGCGCTTCCTAGCTCTAAGACTTCCTATAAAGTTTTGTGCACGAGCCCTTTTATTTTCATTTTTCTTTGACTTATGATCACCATCTCTTCTCTTCTCCATATCCTTACCTTCCTTTATGTACGTGGCAATTGTGTTGATTCTTCGGACTCATACGCTGAAGCAACTTGTGAAAAATTTTTGGCATACATTTTCTAACGTTCCGTCAATTTTTCTAATTTGGTATTTGATACGTTTTGAATGCTTTTGCGCTCGCGCCGTAGGTTTATATTTACAAACTCTTCTCTTTGGAGTTGAAACCGCAAGCAAATGTGACAACTTTCTATCTTGTACAACCTTATCCGACAACATAAAAAAATTTGCTCCGGCATGAAATATATCATCATTGCTTATGTTTTAGCAATTCACCGATTTTTTCGAGTGATTAGAAGGCCTCTCAAATGTTTCAATAAAGTTCCCCTCAAAGTGATTTTCATATCTTAAAAAATAAATGCTCAGTAGAAAATAACCCTCCCTATCTTGCGTGCGTTTTGTGCCCTTTTTCTTCTTCCTTGTTCCTTGATTCTTCTCAGACACAACAGCAGTGTCTATGTAATTGTCCATTGTCTCAATTTCCAATAACTCTTTTGCAGCACACCGTACGTAACAATGAAAACACGAAGTCTTTGCAGAAATCGCGATTTGAAACGAAAAATGTAGAAATTGCGCTTTGATAAAAAATATGATTGAAAATATTGCGTTTTGAAAAAAAAAGCACTAAAATGTCTGGGCGTTTTACATGGCAGAAATAGCTATTTGACTAGAAATTCATGTGGCAATCGAAAGAAATGCTCGCTCCGAGTGGAGCGCCATCTGTAACTCAGTAGCAAATTTGTTTGCAAAAATTGCGTTTCAAAAATAAGCTCTTCATATATACAAACAATAAAATAGGAGCACAAATAGAAGGATACCGCACAGAACCAATACCAGTGGGTAGCGGTCGCCAGGGAGACTCCCTGAGTCTTACCGACTTCAATTTAATAATGGAAAAAATTGTTCTAAGTGTTTGAGACCTAACGAGATAGAAAATGGGGGATCCAGAAACCAAAATAGTGTGTTATGCTGACGATGCCGCTCTTATTGCAGAAAGTGAAGATGACTTACAAAGGTTACTACACTTATTCAACCTGACAGCCATGTCTCTAAATATGGAAATATCACCGACCTATAGAAAGTGCTTAACGACATCAAAAACCCCTCTAAGATGCAAACTGGAACTTGACGGTAGAGTAATCGAGCAGAAAATGAAATTTAACTACCTTGGCGTGGAACTTTCCGGCTTTGGGGATATTGAGGCAGAGGTGAGAGATCAAACAACAAACGCAATTAGACTAGCTGGCTGTCTGCATGCCATATGGTGCAATAAGAGTAGGGGATCGGACACTAGGTCGATGATCTAGAAAACCGTCGTGAGGCCAGTGATACCTCAGAAACTAGGCCGGAAACAATGAAAACCAAAAGACTCCTAGAGACACCGAAAAGAGACTGCTGGATAGAGAGAGAAGGGAGGATATCAGAATAGCCTGTAATGTCAAGAACATCAATTAATGGGTAGCAAACGGAAAAGTTAAGGAATGGAATGAGCACATAAGCAGGATGGACCACCGCAGACTTGTGAGAATCGCTCGCGACAAGCCCCCATTGGGACGAAAAGACGTTGGGCGCCCCAGGAAACGATGAAGCGACAGCCTCACGCAAGTGAACGATAATGAAACAGGCGATTCGCCTAAAATCAAGAATGAAGAAGAAGAAGAAGTTAGTGATGAGACATTTTTCAGTCATACCTCGTTTTCCACTGGTTTATGAACTGAAGGAAAATTGATACTTAGTTTACGTTACGGATTTGAAGCCATCAGTGTTTCTCAAGAAAGCATCTTATTAAGTACATGAATGATATCAAATTAATTCATCGCGTGTGCCATAGACGTTAATAATATCCCTTAATCATCTCTTTTAAAATGCGGCGTTTTAACTCAATACCTTGCGATTTCGCTGCCGTGCAATGATGCATATATCTTGGCTGTCTTATTGTGTAGGCAAACCAATTAATTTCATCGCTCCTTTCCTCTATTTTACACTCTGTTCTTTCCGGCGATGAAGACAATTTATCACAAGTGGCAAATCTAGAGCAGGCCAACACCCGCTATTTTACGCATTCCTGCTGCGTTTCAGTTAATACTGAAAATACATAGATAGATTCGGTCTAATTTGGATGCATCGCATTATCTTTTAATTGAGAAAAGCGCTTGCTTACCGGATAATTTATGGCCAACAGAGCAACTAAGACCTCTAGTGGCACTAAAATAAAGTACATATTCGAGGAAGATAAACACGGTTATCGCCCATAACCCTTGCGTCTTATCTGAGAATGGTTACATCCTCTGGGATTACATCGTGGATTAGCCATACGTATGGACTAGTCCTGTTCCCAGACGGTAGAGTAATTATTTAAATCAGCCGAATTAGTGATAACTTAATTTTAATCAGTCGAGCTGCTAACGGTTATTGGCGAATCAAAGGACAACTTTCAGTAGGAAGTACAGTGGCTGCATAAAACACAGTGGCGACAATAGAACCGAAGCTCCTCCCATTCGCCATTATGCGGCGAAACTATTTGGCGCCAACGGATCTGCTCTGTATGACTCAAGTCCAAGTTTTAACTTGAAATGATGGCCATGATATAAAACATTTTGGGATTAAATTAGAAACCAGCTTTAAAGATGAGTCTTTCTATATAAAGTGCTTCTCGCTAAGAGTTAAGACAGCGGAATGGAATTCGGTACTTGACAAGAATTGTTCTGCGCAAAGAAAATGCAGTTTAGCTTTAGGTTTTCAGTCTTGTTTGCTCTTTGTTATAAATCAAACGTTTTTTTTATCAGCAAGTCTATTATAGATCCACTTGTAACTATTACTGAGTAATGTTCCAGATATTAAATCAGAAATATTAACACATTTCTTCGCTATATTCAATAAAAACATATACAGGGTGTCCCGAAATTAGGTGGCCAACCTGAAGCAGTGAAATCTGCTCTCAAAAATAATATTAATTGTTCAAACGATCACGTATCGCAAAATGCTCCCTAACGGAAGAGACATCTTCTTGAAGAGAGGCCCAGTAGTAGGGTTTTTTGCAAATTATTTCTAAACTGTTGAACTTAAAAACGTAAATTTTAGGAAATTTAGTAATTTTGATATGCTGAATCTAGATCTAGAATCTAGTCAGAATTTCATCATAGTCGTATCATTTTAAGACGCGCAAATCCTCGTTAGAAGCTCTTCTATGCCATGTACTCTTCTGTGGCATAAATAATATTGAACATATCACCCCACAGATTATAATTCAAAGGATTTAGATCAGGCTATCGAGCTGGCCAGTTTACTAGGCCAACTCGACCTATCCACCTGCGTGGAAAATGTTGGTTTAACCAATTTCTTACAGGTTGGCCAAGGTGGGCTGGGGCCCCATCAATCTGGAAGACCATTTCTAACCAAGTGTTTATAGGCAGATCCTCTAGGAATTTGTGCAGAGCATGTTGTAAAAAATTTTAATAATTATGGGTATTTAACCTATTTGGGAAAATAATCGGTCCTATCAAGATATCCCCTATGACACTTGCCCATACATGGAAAGAGAACCTTTGTTGG